AGAAAAATATATTTTAAAAAATGCATATAAAAATGTCAAAAACTGAAAACAACTGTAATGTCCCTCAATGAGACCTCACTTAAAAAGAATGTTATGCCCTAGCTGGTTTGGCTCAGTGGGTAGAGTGTCGGCCTACAGACTGGAGGGTCCCTTGGTTGCAGGCTCAATCCCTGGCCAGTCGACGTGTCTCTCTCACATTGATGTTTCTCTCTCTGTGACTCCCTTCCTTCCACTTTCTCTAAAAATCAATGGAAAAATATCCTCAGGTGAGGATTAACAATAACAAAAAAAGGAATGTTATACAATCATTAAAAAGTATGAATGTAACTGTTAATTATATGGAAAGTTTTAATTATATGGGAAATTATATTTGCACAATGCACTGTAAATTGTTAAGAAAAAGGATCATACAGTTCCATCTTTTAAAAAAAACCCCACTATATGTGTATATTTGCATTGGAAAAAGCCTAGAAGAAACTACAAGAAAATGTGAATTGTTAATTTCTGCATGGTAATATAAATGGTTGTTGTGTAGTTTCTTTGTACTTTTCTCAATTATTATGATTTTGCATTGACTATGTGTATTAATTTTATAATTAAAAAGCTTTAAATGGCTGCTTACCCAATATAAGTGGAAGAGGAAAGAATAATATTTAAAGTCATATACTCTACCCTTCTGGCATGTTCACTTTTCTTTATGAATATTATACCTAGTGGCCCAGTGCATGAATTCATGCACATTGGAAGGAAATTAATTAGAAGAAATACTTTAATATTGCTATTCATCCTTTCTTTATAATAGAAGTGTCAACCAAATTCATGATTGACAATGACAAATCAAAACATATGCATGCGATTGGTGCCAGCGAGAGCTTTATAGGTATTGCACATGCACAAGTCAACTTCGCCTTTTACACACACACACACACACATGTATACACACACATATAATAAATTTGCTTAATTAGTCCTGCTTTCTGATGTAGCTAAACTTTTTCCAGCCCAGTGAAGCATCCCAACTTGTCTTTCAGGTAATTGTCAGCAACACAGCAGTAAATATCAACATGAAGTAGATTATTATTGTAGGTCACACAGGGAGAACAAAGGGTAAAATATTTAACTGCAGAATTTTCTAAACTGTGAGGATCAAATGAGATGAGGCATGGGAAAACACTTCACAGACATTGGGTTAAAGCGTAAAATGTTTGCACCTGGCTATAAAGCAAGTCCTGTTCCTGGGCTGAAGAAACTGCAAGGAGGCTAGTCACTAGGGAGAGGAAGCCGGGCGTTGCTATGTGATGTCATTACCGGCACTCACAGCGACCATTTCTGGGCTGGGCTGGTCTCTGGGCCGCATTTTGTGCCATGGGGTCTTGGCAGCATTGGCTGCGATTTGGTGGGATGTGGCTCTGGGGTGGTGGCGGGGCCTGTGTCCCACTTGGGGGGAGCTGAATGTTGCTTTGTGGGTACCAGGTCCGTGGTGCCATTATGCATCACAGCTGCTCCTGCATTGAGCATCTGCCCCCTGGTGGTCAGTGTGCATCATAGCAACTGGTTGGATGGTTGGACACTTAGCATATTAGCCTTTTATATATATAGATTATATATATAGATAACAATGTATAAAAGGGGCTTCCACCCAAAAGGCATATGACTTTGTGATTTTGTTAGATATTATCAAATTGACTTCCACAGACATTATAGCAGTCATTTTAATTCTTTTTTAAAAAGCAAAGAAATAGAAATTTCAGAACATCCATAGACAGAGCCAGTCAAAGGGTTTTCCTGTCCCTTTATTCTCTCTCCCACAATATTAAGAATGACCACACTTGCTTCAGCCTTTGGTTGGTGCAGCAGGTTGATTTGTGTACCCCAAAAGGATATGTCTGTTATAAACTTCAGTAAATATGACCTTATTTGGAAATATGGTCTTTGCAGATATAATTAAAGATTTTGAAAAGAGATCAGCCTGGATTTATGGTGGGCCCTAAAAACCCAGTGATTGGGGTCATAAAAGAGAGGGAGATTTGACACAACAGAGACACTCAGAAAAGGTAAGGTGAAGATGGAGGCAGAAATTGGAGTGATGCATCGGTAAACCAAGGAACACCAAGGACTGCCAGCAACCACCAGTAGGAGGGAGGTATGGAAGGATTCTCCCTCAGAACCTCCAGAAGGAGCCAACCCTGTGGACCCCTTGATTTCAGACTTTTGGCCTCCTGAACTGAGAATTAATTTGTGTGCTTTTCCCCCCACCTAGTTTGTGGCAATTTTTTTATAGCAGCCTTAGGATAAAGAGCTGGCCTAGAATTGGTCTTTGGCAAGTAGTACTTCTTTCCTGTTCCAAAGTCTTTAGCTATTTCAGATAGGAGTGACCTGATTTAGGCAAGGAAGGGGCGATGGAAACTGAGGTTCATTCCCATGTCGCCTGACTACAAACAGGGTCAAGTTTGTTGTTGTTGTTGTTTTTTCCTTAAGTGTGGCAGAAAAGGGCTGAGGTAAGAGCTAATCATAATTCCATTACCTCATTTGAGATGAGGTCATAGGTGAGTCTCTCTCTCTCTCTCAATCTTTTTTTTTTTGGAACAAAGTTGGAAAGTAAACATCAGTTTGCACGGGATTTCTTTCAGGAATGTTGCAAATCTGACCTTACGTAAACTTAGTAGCTGATCTTATTGATTTTCCACAAAAGGAGGAGAATCATTGGTTAGCCTCCCCTAATGCCACAGTCAGGGACTGGGCCACGGAAGAGGGGCCTGGGACTATTGCCTCCACCCACCCCATTCTAAGTAAGATGAGCAATAATAGTATTGTGCTCCAGCCCAGCCCAATATTGACCCCAATGGTGAGGGTGCTCCCTTCAGAGCTCCCATAGTACATTGCTGTTCTTAGGATTTTCTGCTTTATATTAAAATTTTCCCTTTTAGTACAGGAAAGGAGTAATCTGTTAAATGCAAACTAAAATAACAACGGAAATGCCAGTTTTATACCTATATTTTTGGTTTTAAAATAACAGTACTCAATGTGATATCGAGGTATGGGGTCATTTCTTTTTTTAAAATATATTTTTATTGATTTCAGAGAGGAAGGGAGAGGAGAGGAGAAAGAGATAGAAACATCAATGATGAGAGAGAATTATTGATCTGCTGCTTCCTGCACACCTGCTACTGGGGATCGAGCCTGCAACCTGGGCATGTGCCCTTGACCAGAATCAAACCCGGGACTTTTTTTTTAAAAAATATATTTTATTGATTTTTTACAGAGAGGAAGGGAGAGGGATAGAGAGCTAGAAACATCGATGAGAGAGAAACATCGATCAGCTGCCTCCTGCACGCCCCCCACTGGGGATGTGCCCACAACCAAGGCACACGCCCCTGACCAGAATTGAACCTGGGACCCCTGAGTCTGCAGGCCGATGCTCTATCCACTGAGCCAAACCGGCTAGGGCAGAACCCGGGACTTTTCAGTCCACAGGCCGATGCTCTATCCACTGCGCAACACCAGCTAGAGCATGGGCTCGTTTCTTAAAACCAATATAATGATGTGTATTAAGAAACTTGGAGCCCTGGTTGGTGTGGCTCAGTGGTTGAGCATTGTCCCATGCACCAAAAGGTCGCCAGTTTGATTCCCCGTCAGGGCACATGCCGGAGTTGTGGGCCAGATCCCCAGAGTTGGGGTGTGTGCAGTGTGCAGGAGGCAGCCAATACATGTTTTTCTGTTTCTCTCTTTCCTTCCCTCCCTTCCTCCCTCTCAAAAATCAATAAAAACATATTTTTTTTTAAAAAAAGAAACCTGGAAAATATTAAAAACCTTTGACCTGGGAATTCCATCTCTAGGAGAATTCCATCTCTAGGAGTCCATCCTAACATGATAATCAGAGCCATGGACCAAGATTTATGTGTAAAGATGTTGATTGCAGCTTTATTTATAATAGCAGGATCTGAAAACAAACTCATGTGCAACAAACCGTTGGGCCACAATGAAGTGAGCAACAGTATGTCCATGCAACTCTTTATATTAATGCTTATATATTTGGTTTAATAAAAATTTACTAAAAACAATACATGAGGAAATTTCAAGCAGTATAGAAATGTACAAAATAAAGGGACAAGTCCCTCTGTGTGAGTGCTATGAGGAAAAAGAAGTTTTCTCTTTCCACTGGGGTTGCCAAGCCTGGAAAATATGAATATGGGGCTGCCAGCGGCCACCCTCCCCACAGCACCTGAGAGTGCAGCCGAGCGCCAAGCATGGAGGAACTGGCTGACACGGGAAGAAGGGAGGCCTGAGAGGCAGCTCTGCTTCTGATCCCTAGAGATCCCAGTTTCTGCAGGTCTCCCTAAACTGTTAAACAATCTGATAAACAGTTCTTCTGCCTGGACTTTTATTTAATTTATTTTTTAAAAATATATTTTATTGATTTTTTACAGAGAGGAAGAGAGAGAGATAGTTAGAAACATAGATCAGCTGCCTCCTGCACATCCCCCACTGGGGAAGTGCCCACAACCCAAGTACATGCCCTTGACCGGAATGGAACCCGGGACCTTTCAGTCTGCAGGCCTACGCTCTATCCACTGAGCCAAACTGGTTTCGGCTGGACTTTTAATTAAATGCGTAGAGTCATGATAACAGAACTGCGCCAGCCCTGGCCGGTCTACTCAGTGGTTAGAGTGTCGGCCTGTGGACCGAAGGAAGGGTCGTGGGTTCGATTCCCAGTCAAGTGCACATACCGGTTGTGGGTTTCCTGCCCAGGGCACATGCAGGAGGCAACAAATCCATGTGTCTCTCTTCATGTGGATGTTTCTCTCTCTCCCTCTCCCCACTTTCACTTTGTCTAGAAATCAATGGAAAAAATATCCCCAGGTAAGGATTCAAACAAACAAACAAAAAAACTGGGCCAGCTGCTTTATTGGAATAAAATTATGTGGTTTGTACTGTAATCTAACAATCAATTAATTCTTCCAACAATTGGAAATGAAGTCCATTTGGCATGAACCGGGCTTTTTTGTTAAACCACTAAAGGCTCCTAAATAATCACCTTTCTTGCCTGACCTGTTTGGAATTAATCCCCCCAGCGCCACCTTCTTCCTCCGGGCTCCCGCGGACTCCAGGCTCTAAGAGCTAAAGCGTGTTTGTTTTTCACACAGAAGTTTCTGTGATTTCACTGCACACACCCAGTCTTCCGCATCTCAGCCGGTTCCTCCAGGGCGGGCAACCCGGCTCTGGGTTGGCGGAAGGGCTCAGACTCCTCGTGGAGCCTCACGAAGCGTCGTCCAGCGCCTCGCGGCTTACCGACTCCACGCGCTCCCCGGACTCCTCCCGAGGTCGCGGTCGGTGACCGCTTCTCCGCCACCGAACCCGATCC